ATAATGTGGGAATACTTCTCGCCAGCATACAACAGGGCTCATCGATTCCAAGCGGCCCTAGCTCACATTCACATCACCCTGGAACTGGTCCTGGCGCCGGAGTTAATTTAGCATTGCTATATTACCACTATGGTCTCAGCTTGGACAACAAACATGCTCATCTGTACACAAATCTTGGAAGTTTACTAAAAGATATCAATCACCTCCCGACAGCGATCAAAATGTATGAGCAAGCCGTTCACTGCGATCCTTCATTTGACATTGCTTTGGCCAATCTGGCAAATGCAGTTAAGGATCAAGGACGTATCAGTGATGCTATCGGCTATTACCGGCGTGCAGTGAAGTCCAACCCAGAATTTGCTGAGGCTGTTTGCGGACTTGCGAATGCCCTCAACAGTGTTTGCGACTGGAAGGGTAGAGGTGGTGTTGTGAGGGATGATGGGAATAGAGATCGATGGCACGTAGGGGATGACGGCACGTTGATGGACGCGAAGGCCGTGGGTGCTGTCAGCAGCGGTTGGATGAAACGAGTGGTGGAAATTGTTGAGAAGCAACTTATTCAGGGAGAAATCTGGGGTAAAAGCGCATTGATGGGCGATATGCTGGATATTTTCCTGAGAGACATCGAGCATGCCGAGAGCGGCAACTGGAGCGACGATAGGCACCAATCTTTGCGGAACACCGTGACAAAATGGGCGGACCGACCATACGAAGGCGCAAAGATTATCCGCATGATTGAGCGTGCAAGTCAGAGAACCGTGTGGAGATGGTATCAAGATAGGTATGTGAAGGGTGTCAGCAAACCCCTGACAGAGTACCGTCGGCCCACAGTTCCGTCAACTTTGACTACACCAAGCGCTCCGACAGTACTTCCGTTTCATACGTTCACCTGTCCTTTGTCGGCAGAGCAAGTTAGACTTATCTCCGAACGGAATGGACTTCGCATATCATGCTCAACTTTGAGATCATCTTGGCTGGCGCCTCACGTGTACCCTCCGCCGGCACCTCCGGCACCATATCTGAGAGTGGGCTATGTGTCGTCTGATTTCAATAATCATCCTCTAGCACATCTCATGCAGTCCGTTTTTGGCCTGCATAATCAAGACCGAGTGAAGGCATTCTGTTATGCCACGACAGCGAGCGACAACTCCGACCACCGGAAGCAGATTGAAGCTGAGTCACCCGTGTTCTATGATGCCCACAGCTGGGGTCCCGATCGTCTGATCCAACAAATTGTGGACGACGGCATCCATATTCTCATCAACCTCAACGGATTTACTCGTGGTGCGCGAAACGAGGTGTTTGCTGCTAGGCCAGCGCCTATACAGATGAGTTTTATGGGCTTTGCAGGAACCCTTGGTGCCGAGTGGTGCGATTACCTTTATGCAGACACGACGGCCGTGCCTCCAGAGATGCTTCGGAAGACACGACGAAATGTTGATGTCGACGATACAATTCGTAGCATTGAGGATGATGGGGATAGTAGCTGGGTATACGCCGAGAACATCATCTTTGCTCGATACACATTCTTTTGCTGTGACCACCGGCAAAGTGCTCCGGATTCGAAGTTACGACGGCTCACCTGGGATGAAGAAGTAAAGAGGCGGTGGACTATGCGGAAAAAGATGTTTCCCCACCTTGAGGATGATCAAGTCATCCTGGGCAACTTCAACCAGTTATACAAGGTAAGCTTTGCAATTACCTATCTCTAATGTCACTCACACTTTATAGATTGAACCGACAACTTTCCGGACCTGGTTACGTATCCTGGCAGCACTCCCTAGAGCTGTCTTGTGGCTGCTACGTTTTCCCGACCTAGGAGAATCAAATTTACGATCACTCGCTGAAACATGGGCATCCAAAGAGGTTGCTTCGAGAATTATATTTACCGATGTTGCTCCAAAGCCGCAGCATATTTCCCGAGCACAAGTGTGTGATCTATTCTTGGACACGCCCGAATGCAATGCACATACAACTGCCGCAGACGTACTTTGGAGCGGTACACCACTATTGACATTACCACGGCACAAACATAAGATGTGTTCTCGGATTGCAGCAAGTATCCTTCGTGCTGCGGTGCCGCAAACCATCGAGGGTAAAGCCATGGCAAATAGTCTGGTAGCCGCGAGTGAAGACAATTACGAACGTCGTGCGATAGAGTTAGTCAGGGGATTGAATTATAAGCCCGGCGGTAATGGAGAGTGTTCTGGCGAGCTAGCAAACATCAGGAAGGTGCTGTTTACAAACCGTTGGCATAGCGAACTATTCAACACCAAGCGCTGGGTGTCGGATTTAGAAGATGCCTACGAGGAGGCGTGGAGGAGATGGGTTAACAAGGAAGGGGGTGATATAGACTTGAAGGCTTTGAAACCGACGATGAGTACTAGTTATTGAAACGGTGTAATTTGGGAATATGGCGTGGGGACTTTATTTTTTTTTTGCATTTTCGGCGGGGATGGAGCGCTACGATTTATTCAAATGTTTTTTTCTTTCTATGGGGGTTTTTTGGCAAGTACCGGCGTATCTTTTAAATGTGTAAGGGGTGTCGGTATGATGGGGATTGCGATTTGGGGGACTACTTTTATTTTTTGGTCGGAAATATGTACCTTTTTTTTGGTGGTGGGGGAAATGGAGTTCAAACCTTGTTTGTTTCTTTCTGACTCTGGGAAATGAATGTTTGTGTGTTTTGTGTGCGTAGGTAAATACTTTATAGAGGTCTCTCCATACTGATGAAGCATGTAATAGCGGTCTGTCAAGGTTTCGCATGGCAGAATGCGGGGATCAGAGTCAAATAGGTGTTGATACAGACAACGCCCGAGTACCAGTTACTTGCTTCCCAGATTTCTGTGCACGCCCGCACATCTCGATCCACATTCTGCATCAATCCCACTTTGGGATAAGCCGCAACGCCATTATATCTCCAGCACTTGTGACCGTAAAGTAACAGGTACCTTGTTCAAGAGTTGCACATTCAGTATATATCCCCCCCCCTGGGGAATATCTTGTTGACAGTAAAGAAGGGGGAAGAGGAAGGGTAGACTTATGATTGATGCACCAACCTATCCGAGGTAGTTTTCCGGGCATTCAAAATTAGCTCAGTTCCCTAGGATGACGGTGCACTGTGTCCAGCAAAGGGACCAGAAATCAGCCCTTACAACTCACTCTATTTCTACACACAAATACGCGGTACCACTCGTCCCGCACATTCTCACGATCTCCTGGGATGCGGAGCCAATTCATCGCAAAACGGGCGGGTGGATATATCCCGCCAACATTGGAACTGGCGAATCGATGACCCTTTAAATTCCGTCATTCCTTCCGCTCGCTCAATTCAGGCACCCCCACATCCACGTCATCGGCAATCGCGCCAATAACCGAGTCGCCACGAGCTTGGTCCGTGCACTTTTCACTACTACTACTTAGCACTACCACCACCTCTCCCTCTCCCCCCTCTATCCAACACCAATGCCACCACCACCACCACCACTCCCACCTCCCTCCCTACTCCATACACACCCCGCCACACCCACCGCCTTCTCCCGCTTCGGCACAATAATCCAAACCCCCTCCTCCCCATCCTCAACCTCCATCTCCGCCAACCAAGGCACCGCAACAAAACACCCCCGCATCTCCCCAGTACTCTCTCAATACCCCCCAACCTCCCCAAGCGCTTCCACAAACCTCCATATCTTCTCCTGTCTCCCCCGTCAACTCTCCCCCGGCGGAATCTTCACCTGCAACATCCTCGAGCGACACCTGTACACGACACAAACCTTCATTCCGCTAGGGCTATCCCCGGATCCAAGCGGAGGGGTGTATTATGTTGTGATTGTGGCGCCGACGGGAGAGGATGGTATGCCCGTTGTAAAAGATTTGGTGGCGCTGAGGTGTACGGGGGATCAGGCGGTCACGTATAATCCGGGTACGTGGCATGCGCCGATGGTGGTTGTGGGTGGGAGGGTGGATTTTGTGGTGTTGCAGGCGGAGAATGGAGTGAGAGAAGAGGAGTGTGAGGAGGTGGTGGTTGAGGGGGTGAAGGTTAGGGTGGGTGGGGAGACGGGGAATTGGGGGTTGTGGGAGAAGGGGGGGAGGTTGTAGGAAGATGGTGTATTGTATAACTGTTGAATAGAGTATGTTTACTGCGTGGAAGATACATAAGTTTATGCTGTTGCTTCTTTTTCTTCGCAAAATCTAAGTGTGGTGACACCGCCGATGAGATTGAGATTGATGCAAGATGTGGATCGAACGAGATGTGTGGCGCCATGGATATCTGGGAAACAAGTGCTATTGTCTACATATGTCCTAGTATACCCGATAGAACGGCTATCTATCAAGATGGAACCAAGTCAAGCTCGAGCTCTTATTCCTTTTCCTAAGTAGAATTATTGTAAGTTCTTGAAGGGAAGGGGAACTTTAGGTTGATTTCCAGTTTTACTGGACATCCATCTTATCGTTGTATGCCCGGAAAAAATTGTGCTGATCTAGAACCACCGTACTGTAAGCTTCGCAAGAGCAGATGGTGGGTTGATGTATTAGGTATTTGTCTACTTCCTCCTCCTCCTCCTCCTCCTCCTCCTCCTCCTCCTCTGCGATCCTCCTCTACCGTCAACAATACATCTCCCCATAGAACATCCGGACCTGCTTCTGCTCATCCCCAGTAACTTCCATGCTCCCAGCTCTCGTACGTAAAATCAACCTCATAATGAATAGGAAGTGTAGCGGTACAGCATTAGAAACTAGAGTTCGAAGCTCACTTCAACTCTGGCACACTATACTTCCGAGTATTCATACTTGGGAAATTTTGCGGTTGAAAAGGTGCACTTCAGACTGTGGCATCCACTGTTTACAAGTACTAACTTAGGACCGCATCGAAGATGGTGGATGCGTTTTTATTTCCCCACTAAGTAGGGACGGATATCAAAATATTAATCCTCCATCTTTACTTTGTACCTTTGATAATGTATTTATGATTTCTGGCCCCCACGCCTTTTCAACAGATCGGCCGCATGGCCCAATGGCAAGGCGCTTGACTACGATTCATTCGAAAGCATATCGGAATCAAGAGATTGCAGGTTCGATCCCTGCTGTGGTCACTCATTCTTTTGTTGATTTTTTTGTGAGTCCAGGGAGCTTCTTTATTTCTTCTCGTAAGCTATGCAAACAAAGGGCTGGGGATATTCAGCTGGAGCATTCACGGTGGAATAGATCCAAAGGACCAGAAAATATATTGACATTCTGTTGACGTCTTCTGGCTCCACATGCTTTTCCTTTCTTTTATCAGGTTTGTTTGTAGAAGCGAAAGGCCTGGTGAGGTGCGTAATAGATATTTGTACCTGGGTCTTAGGGAGATATAATGTTCCTACCTCAGATTTTGTTCCCCGCTCCCACCTCCGCCCCGCCTTGTCTGCAGAACTCATAGATATCTTACAAAGGCCATACACACTCGTTAACTTTTTCAAATTCCGGTCTATATTCTACTTAGGCATAGAGTACAATTATTACAAAAAAAAAACCAAAAACACAAGCTAAATTACAATGATATTAGTTACACTACAATGAATATATCGCACAAGAGTTTTTCCTTTCCACAGGATCGAAAGCAGAGCAAGATGCTATACAAAAAAATGCTCAAAACCCAAAAACAAAAGCTTCCCAATTTCTCCCAACCACCCATAACACCCCAATTGCAAAAATGACCGACCGACCTAACCCGCTATGATAATGATGAACAAATGAAACAACAAATGAAACACGTAAAATACAAAACAAAACATCACCATGTATCCGTAAATGCAAAATCCCACCACCCCACACCACCTACCATTAATCCTTCACCCCCCAACCCAGCCCACGATGGACATCAAACACTCCGGCCGGAACATTCCCCAAAACCTTCTCCTTCCTCTTCCCCACTCTCCACCTCTCACTCACACTCCTTTTCCCCGTCCTAACACCCACCATCTCTAACGCCCTCCTCAACTCGGGGTGTCTTTGAACTGCATGCTTAACCACAGTCTTATCCATCCCTCCCGCCGCCTCCCTCAACTCATTTCCATAGCTCTCTACTAGATACAGAATATCCAGTGCATCGCCCTGCTTACCCCTCGTTGCTGCAGCATGTAGCTTCCCACGGAATAGGTACTCCGGGTCCAGGATGGGAACGTACGACACTCCCATGTGCTTTCCTTTCAGTATACAATTCTGCAGCACCGGGAAGCGCGAGGCTTGGTGGCCGACGAACATTTCGACAAGAACCATTGGTTCTGGACGTTCTTCCTCTTGCTCTTCTTCTGAGGATGAAGATGAGAAGGTGGAGCTAGAGCTGGATGAGTGCGGGGATTTGTAGAAGTATGCGACGTAGTCTTCGCGGGATTGTGGGATTTCGAGCCATCCGTGACGAGCGGAGAGGAGGGAGGTGATGGACGATTTGGAGGAGGAGACGAGGACGTCGAGGTCTTTGGTTTCTCGGGATGGGGAAGAGGTGGTGGAGAGGATTGCGAAGCCGCCGAAGAAACCGTGATGGATTCGGTGGAAGGTTAGGATTCGGGAGAGGGCCAGTGCGGCGTCGCAAAGGAGGGTGTGGTGCATGTTGTGTGTGTGTGAGGTGTATATGTCTATGAAGCTTTTTTTGTTTATCCAGGAAATGTATATAAAACTTTTGGTGTGGAAACTTTTGGGGTATGATTTTTTGTGATTGGAATAGCAGTGAGAGTTGGTCGATATTATTAAGAGGTTTTTCCCGTAAGGTAAGGTATAAAAATTTGTTATCGAGGAAGGAAATAAAATGGTGTCAAACCAAAGAAGGCAGTCTTTCAGAGACAAGAATCGAATCGAATCAAAAAACCGGGTGAGATTAATGAGAGTCTAGAAGTTGTAGTGTAGTAGAGATCGTTTGGTGAAGTTCCTGAGCTGCACAGGGATAGAAGTGGTATTTGTGGGCGGTTGAGCGGTTTTGATATCGATGGGTTCGAAAGATGACGTCTGAAAGGCAACAAAGGAAATAACGGGAACGGCCAGGGAAACAAAATTAATGAGCACGGCTCAATATGCAACGACTGTAGCTTCCCGAAGCAACAATAACGAAAAGAAAACAAACGAAAGGAAAAAAAAAAGCGAACGGGAAGAAGCTTGCGAGGCTGCTGTGAGCTGATGAATTCTCTGTTTCTGCTTGTGTTGATGATGCCAAAGAGAAAGCGGAAAAAAGAAGGTGGAGATGAAGCAATATATGCCATCTCCAAATGTCCAAACGTTGACCAGCCAATGCCTTTGGGCTTGTGCCTGCAGGAAGGGGGGTCCTCGCCAGCGTTTCGCCAGGGATTGGTTGGATAGAAACACAGAGCGAGACTGGTTCGGTTGTAAGGCAGGCGGTTATTAGATTATCTCCCTTCTTGCAACTTGGCGGGGTCCAATCTTAACTAATGTATTTTTGGTGTGCCTCGATTGGTCTCTCCCTCCCCAAAAGATGCTCGAAACGTTGATGACGGAACGTTTCAATGCCTTCTTCTGCCTGGGCAGTGTTTTTTACTCGCCCATACTATGAATAAATACATGAAATATAGGGTTCCTGCGTTCGGCATAGGGGATGCGGGCGTCACGGAATTGTTTGTCTATATCGACCATAAACGGCCGTATTATGCACAAATAATAGAACTCGACGACAACGAACGGGGCGGCATATATTTACAGCGGGCGGCTTCGAGTTTTTTCTCCTTAATGCACACGTAGTTCGACTGCAATTGCCCTTCGAATTCCGGAGACGCGTATACACGTGATATCGATCGAATTCGAAACGTTCGAGCTCTTTTTTTGACAGGCCAGATCTCCAGTGCAGGCGGTTATTGTGACATCCTTGGTATATCTCCTTTGTATTGTTCCTCTGTGCTACGCTACCAGCCTCCCTCAATCCATACGGTAACCAGCGGCTGATAGATTGCCTAGGAAGAGGTAGTGGCATTTACATCGTCGCAGGGGTTTTCGGGACGACGTTTAATTGTTCAACGGGACGTCTTTTTCCGGTGAAGATGCGAGGATGGTAGGGTACTCTAGTTTATAATCCCTAGCTCCAGCCATTAGCAGCATGAACTTTGAGATCTTACAGCGTGGTGGTTCATGCGTAAGCTGATAATACAGTCTCGAGCGTCATGATAAGGAGACGAAGTTTGAAGCTCATCTCTCACCGGAGTGATAAGGCACATGCGGCTCAAGCTTTTTTACGATGAAGAGATCTGCAGCTAAACCTTCTCCACCACGTTGCATACTGATCCCCCGCCATCAACCTACGCCTCGATAACAGCTGTACTAGTACAGCCTCCTCCACTTCAAGAATCAAAATGCCCAACCGCGAAGAATTCATGACATGACGACCCACTCCCCCGCAACATCATCTGGCAGGAAGGGTCGACCTGGTTAATACAGAGCTACATCCCACATTCCACATCCCACATTTTTTGCGCTATTAATTTCGTATACATACGTCCTTTATTCTGTCACGAAATGAATCAATCAATCAATTAATCATAGCCCCCTCCCTCTCACGAAGTCCTAATATTCTAGATTCTAGCCCCTCGATCGATTCCATCACATCGCACACTGGAACTTCCCGCGCCCCGCTACGTACCTATGTACCCCGACAAAACGTTTCATCTAGATCTACTCAAAACCCTCCCGATTCTCCATGAGTGTTCGTGCCGCCCGCCGCCAATAGCGAACGGGTTTCAAAGTTATTCACCGGTGAATATCCTTGATAACGCCACCGACGTAGTCAAAGACCAGGCGACGCGCCTAGAAGCCACCACCATATCATTGAGGACGGTGATAGGACACCTCATATCGGCTCAAAGAGAGGGAATGGAATGGAATGTTAGGAGTCAATACAAAGGTTGCCGAAACAATCTAGTGCTCTTACTCACTCAACCGATTGTTTATTGTCTTTGTCACTCCGCCCATCGCGAACTACTTACGTCATAAGATTTCCAGACCAGACGGCTATTTCTCGGAGAGCGCACACGTGTTTCGGGTCCAGCAGCCGAATATTAAAATAGTTGGGAGTCGAAGAAGAATCTCGGCGGCCTCAGACCTATGTACTCTACATGCCAAAGGTTATGAGCGGGGTCTTTTTAGTACCAAGCAAAGACCAATTGCACGGTCCAAGTGGTATTAATTAATAGAGTGGACTGTGAGTGTGTGGTTGACCTTACATTACTTGACAATCTAAATCATGGGACAATCTCCCCAAGTCACTAGAACATATGTAATGCTTCCCGGCAGGCCACATTAATGCATTATGACGTCCATTCTGCTGACATTTTCATTCTGTTCTGGACCCCGGCTCTGCGATGAGAAGTCCGCCAACCCCCTGTAACTATGTTTGAATGTTTTTATGCTAGGCACTGGACTTCTTGGGGGTCAGTTAATCAAGAGTAATAAGGTTTAGTGAGTGGGGCAATTACATACAAACACCGCCTGCTGTTTCTAAACTGAAACTGAGTGCATAAACAAAAAGCATCTGTAGAATTATAGAACCGAAATAGTACAGATCGATAGAACGTGAACATCTAAGTCCTGCTAAAGTGCAGGAAAATATACATCCGGTACACTGTCTACAAAAAATGCATCCGACATTCAGGCTATAGACTGCCTGCTGGCACATCTAATGGTATTGTCAATCAGTGGAAGTTGATAGTTCGGTTGTTGAACCTAAAATCAACTTCAGATACAGCTTTAAGTCCCTTCAACACACAAGGCTTCAAAAAAGAGAAGAAACAAAAAACATAGACTTGAAACGCGCAGCAGGTTACATAGGTACTTACTTAGTATCTCTATGCTTTTCGTAGGTGCAGAAACTGAAATGCAGCACTGCTGAACAGATTTCTTTGCATCAGTGTACATGTTCTCCAGCATGCATGTATGTAGGTCTGAGGCCACCTGCTCCATACATCCGCGGGGTCGATTGTTCAAGGTCTCCTTAAACAACTATCTTTCTGATGGGACAGATATAATGAATGGACTGTTGTATATTCTGTCTCTCTAGATCTGACCAAGGATCCATCGATATTATAGATGGCTATTCGACATTAAAGGGTCGTTGTGATAT